TATTTTAAAAGACTGTAAATAAAATTCTGAGAAGAATTTAATTATTTTCTATAAAATTTTGATAAAATCCAGTAATCAAATGTTTAAATATTGTTACTAAAAAATACGATTTTTTAAAAAATTTGAAAGAAATTCTTTATAAAATTCAATTACTTTCAAAATTTTCAATTATAAATGTTAAAGAAACTCTATTATTTATAAAAAGATCAAAGAAATTCTTTAAAACAATTCAAATATTTTTAAAAATTTTAATGAAATTCTTTGCAAAAATTCAACTATTTATTATTAAATCTTGTTGCCAAAAATCTGTATAAAAATAACTACCAGTTAATATTAACAACAAATTGAAATCGCGAAATCAATAATTTCGCGATGTAGAGAATTTTATCTAGAACAAAAAAATTTCTATTCGTGTAGAATTTAATTATTATTCTCATTAACATATGATTAGTGCGAATATAGAGTCTAGTTACATCGAAATTAATATCTAACAAATTAATATAATAGTAATGTTTAATAAATTCAAATATGTACAATAATCCAAGTATTATGAGTAATTGCTGAATTATTTCCATACTATTCCAAGTATTATATGCTTCGGATTATTATTTCCTATAAATTGACAACAAAACGTTAATATTCTAATTATATTTACTAATCTAATATTAATTAACACATTTAAAATTTAGAATGTAACAAATGTTAATTAATATATTTGCATTAAATATAATATATAATTTATATATATTGAAAATAAACACATTAATTAACATTTGTTACATTCTTTATTCAAAATACGTTAATTATGATGCAATAAAAAGGGCTAAATAAAGTTATTTAGATTTAAAAATAAACCGTATTTTTTTTTATTTGCAAAAAAAATTTTGGTCATAACAAACATAACCTACTTCCAAAAAAATCGTTTATTGGGGAAAAAAAGTTTGTAAAAGCCCCTATATCAAAAAATTAAATTTTCAATACAAAATAATAAAAAAAAAAATTATCAAAAATGAAAAAAAACTTTTTCGTAAAAATATTTCAATATTTTAAAACTGGTCCATTTTTTTTCCCCAACTTTCAACAATATTGTTCCACTCTTGGAAATTATTTCAAAACATTATCCGCTTGAAATATCTGGTAATAATAATATTCATGTTACATTCAGCAATTCAGAATTTATATGCCAAAAAAAAAAAAATATTCTCAAAACTATGAATGAATTGAGGAGAAAGGAGAATAAAAATTTTTTTTTAGAGTTTATAAAAATTATATATACATATAGAAGAGGAAAAAGAAAAGTATATTTGAATTTTGCTGATATTGAAAAAAAGAAATATATATGTTTTAAAAAGATTTCGGAGAGCCGCTATATATATATACACACACATCTAAAGCTGATAACTGAAAGAAAACGTTTAGTGACGTTTTATTGCTTTATATATGAAATGTACTTGCAGAGGAATTCAATACTTTCTTCTCTCTGAGTTCACGGCGAATCTTTAATGGACAAAGAAAAAGTGCGCTATATAACGACAGAAGGAAATATTGAATTTCATATCAAAAGGAAATTACGTTCAAGTTAAAAGCTGGGTTCTAACCATTTTCCGCTTGGAGTGTCTTTTCGTGAGGAAGATATAAAAAAAAAAGAAGAAGAAAAAGAAGAAAGTAAAGACAGATAGAAAAAAGCGCCGAGGAAATATGTCTTTTCAGACGCATTGAAAATCTTTTTATTTTTCATGAAGAGAAAAAAAAAGTGGAAAATATTAATATAAATATTTACGTTCTGAGTTTAAGTGAAAAATGAAAAAAATTTTTCACTCCGACGAGTTACCTACATTTTTTGAATAGTTTCATTTTTTAAGCTCAAACACGAGCATTGCCTTTTCTTATTTACTTTGAGAATAAAAATACATTTAGATGTCAAAGATTTTAAGTATAATTATCCTTTTATCTTGTTTTTTTCAGAAAAAAATATAAATAACAGGCCTTTGCACTCGATAATTAATTCTAAAAAAATAGCTTTCAAACTAAAAAAAAGTAGTAAAAAAGTAATTATCAAAAAATTAAACATGATATCCAAAAAAATTCGTTTTAGATACTTCACAAAACTGACAAAAATTTCATTCTACATTTTATTTTCCTGACTTTTTCCTAATTTTTATAAAAAATATTTACTTCTTTCTTATCCTGCTAATAAATTCAATTCCTGCAGCAAATTTTATTATTCATAAAAGAATTTTATAAAATTTTTTAAATAATTGATTTCATTCGACTAATTTTATGTAAATTCAAATTTAAATAATTGAATTCTTTGGAAATTTTTATTATTCATGAAAATAATTGAATTCTTGCAAATGATTTTATTAGAATTTTTTCAACTAATTGAATTTCCAAGAAGAAATTTATTACTTTTAAAAATAATTGTATTCTTGTGATGAATATTGTTATTTATAAAAATAATTGAATTTTACAAAGAATTTTATTAAAAAGCCTCAAAATAATTGAATTTTCGGGAATAAATTTGTTATTTATTGATATAATTGAATTCTTTTGAAGAATTATATTATTTATGTAAATAATTCAATTCTTAGGAAGAATTTTAGTAAATTCTAAAAGAATAATTGAATTATTTCAAAAAAATTTTAATTAAAATTGCATTTAAAATAATTGCTTCCATTCGAAAAATTTTATTAAAATATTTGAAAATAATTGAATTCCTGTGAAAAATTGTAATATTTTTGTTAATAATTGAATTCTTCGAGAGACTTTTAAACAAACGTTTTTTTTAAATAATTGATTTTTTCAAGGAATTGAAATTAAATTTTTAAGAATTATTTCATTTTTCGAGCAATTCCTGTAAAATTGTATTAAAAAAAAAATTTAAATCCTGCAATAAATTTTATTACCTATTAATAATTATTTTATTATTATTTTATTAAAATTTTCAAAAATAATTGAATTCTTCAGAAGAATTTTATTAGTTATGAAAATAATTAAATTCATGTAAAAAATTCTAATATTTTTGTAAATAATTGAATTCTTCCAAAGAATTTTAAAAAAACATTTTTTTAAATAATCGATTTTTTCGAGAAATTGAAATTAAATTTTTAAGAATTATTCCATTTTTTGAGCAATTCCTGTAAAATTGTATTGAAAATAATTGAAATCCTGCAATGAATTTTATTATTTATGAAAATAATTGAATAGTTGCTAAGAATCTTATTTAAATTTTCAAAAATAATTGAATTTCTCAAAAGAATTTTATTAGTTATGAAAATAATTGAATTATTGAGAAAAATTTTATAAAAAAGTATAAAAAGAATTGAATTTCTATAAAAATTTTGTTTTTTTTTCGAAAATAATTGGATTCTTTATAAGAATTTTATAAACATTGTTACAAATAATTAATTTTTTCTAAATATAACAAATATTATGAAAATTTTATTTCAAATAATTGAATTCTTGTGAAAAACTTTATATTAATTTGTGAAAATAATTGAATTCTTGTGATAAATATTGTTATTTATAAAAATAAAAGAATTTTATTAAAATGCCTCAAAATAATTAAATTTTCAGGAATAATTTTGTTATTTATCGAAATAATTGAATTGTTTTGAAGAATTATTTATGTAAATAATTAAATTCTTGGGAATAATTTTATTAAAATATAAAAGAATAATTTAATTATTTCAAAAAAATTACATTAAAATTGCATTTAAAATAATTTTATTTAAATATTTGTGAATAATTGAATTCCTGTGAAAAATTCTAATATTTTTGTAAATAATTGAATTCTTCCAAAGAATTTTAAAAAAACATATTTTTGAATAATCGATTTTTTCGAGAAATTGAAATTAAATTTTTAAGAATCATTCCATTTTTTGAGCAATTCCTGTAAAATTGTTTTGAAAATAATTTAAATCCTGCAATGAATTTTATTATTTATGAAAATAATTGAATTGTTGCTAATAAATTTATTAAAATTTTCAAAAATAATTGAATTCCTCAGAAGAATTTTATTAGTTATGAAAATAATTGAATTATTGCGAAAAATTTTATTAAAATGTTTAAAAAGAATTGAATTTCTGTGGAAAATTTTGTTATTTTTGAGAATAATTAAATTCTTGCTAAGAATATTTTATAAACATTGTTTTAAATAATTAATTTTTTGGAAATATAACAAATATTATGAAAATTTTATTTAAAATAATTGAATTCTTGTGGAAAACTTTATTTGTAAAAAAAATTGAATTCTTACTTAGAATTTTATCAAAAATATTTTTAAAAAATTGAATTTCCATAAAAAATATTATTAGTGACCGTAATTAAATTATTGTGAAGAATTGTATAAAAAATTTTGTTAAATAATTGATTTTTTCGAAATTTTTTTGAAAATGCCATTCTAAATTAATTGAATTCCTGTGGAAATTTTATTATTTATGAAAATAATTGAATTTTATTAATTTTTTAAAAGAATAATTGAATTCTTTTGTGAAATTTTATGAAAAACATTATAGATATTAAAAATAATTGAATTTCAAATATTTTTTGAAAATAATTGAATCATTTTAAAGAATTTGATTAAAATTTTTGAAAATAGTTTTTTGATTTCTAGTATTAGCGAAATTAAAGTAGTGGAAATTCTAAAAAAAAACAAAAATAGTAGCTTTTAGTGGCTGAAATCTAAAGAAAAGTACTTAAATAGTAGCATAACGTAAAAAAGTAGTAAATATAGTAGGTTTTAGTAGATGAGTGCGCAGTCTGAAATAAAAGAAAAAATATAATTTTCAAGAATATAAAATATAAATGAAAAAAAAATGAATATCAATTAACATATAAGCTTTTTATTAAAATCGTTTTCCAGTTATTTTCTATTTTTAATGAAATGCATAAAGATCCTCGAGCTCATTAACAATATGTAAAATAAAAAAAGAAAGAAAAAAGAAAATTGTCAACAAAAAACAAAAGTGTGATTGGTTTTTATTTTGCCCATGTTGCAGAGAGTCGAATTTTGGAACTTCATTCTCCAGATGGAGTGCACGAGTGTTGGCTGAGAGCTTCTGACAATACGGAGGCGAATGTCTGGTTCAATGCTCTACATTCGGCACTGGCAGCACTTACCTTGAAAGCCCTAAGACTGGCTTCAGCACTTCCGGATCCTCCGCAACTTCAGCACATCGGCTGGCTCGCCAGGAGGCACTGTGTTCAGGTAAAGAGTGTGTCTATGTTGGCTTTTGCTGAAAAGGGGGAGAGAGAGAGAGAGAGAGTTGGAATTTACAGAAACTGAGGAAATTGTAGTCACGCCTTTGCTATTCCTTCTGGGACTACAATGCGTGGTGAAGCACCACAACTCACTAGCAATTAAGATCCTGACGTGACATCCGCTTGAACACGCTCGCAAGCACTTCATTTTCAATTAATTCCAAAACAGTTTCTAATTGCAACAATAAGCGTATTCTCATATTTTTCTTTTAATTTAACACGAAATTAATCATTTTCGACCAAGGGAAAATATTAATTTAATTATTAGTTAAATATACTAATTTTATAAAAATTATTTTTAAAAATACAAATAATATCAAATAATATCACAATTTTCTTGAAAGCATCAAATTCATACTAAGGTGTATCAATTTGATAAATTGATCAAATAAGAAATTGATCTAAATTTTTATATCCAATTGATACTTTCAAGAAAACTGTGATATTGTATTATTAGGTTATATTATTAAATTATTAATTATCGTATTCTTATATTATATTATTTATTTATTTATTCATTTATTCAAAATACACGGGCTTTAAAGCCCAATCGTACCAAGTACTGTTGAAATATTATTATTTATTTTTAAACATGATAAATTAATATTCTCTGCAACTTCAATAATTAATTAATTTTATAAATCATCTATTCCTTCGAGTCATGTTTTTGGAAAATGCAATCAAATTATGCAAGAGGAAATTTTCTTTAACGTTTCTAGAGCCCAGTTTTCCTCATCAACTTATTAATTAACAATTTTATGTATATATGCACGAGTTATTAATTAATAAATGGTTTTATTTTCAAAAGGGGACAGTGATGCTGTCAAAACATTAAATAGGAAATTTGTTTTTTTGAATAATTTTCATATTCTGAAAACTTAAATTCGAGAATAATTAACAAACTCAATTAAATTATTTAATTATTATCATTGAGCAATCTTAATATTGAAATAAATTATTAATTTATTTTACATTTTTGCACATACTGCATTTTTTTTTTTTTTTTTTTTGAAAATTAATTGCATAAAGAAAAAAATTAAATTTAACTTTTCTGAACTTCATTTAGAAGGGATTTTTTAATAAATAATATAATAATAAGCTTTTAAAACAAATTAAAAACAAATTTAGAAATCATTGAATTTCTAAGAAGAATTTTATTGGAACTATTAAATATAATTGAATTCTTTCGAGAAATTTAATTTAAATTCCACTCCAAATTATTCCATTCTCATAAACAAATCTTTTGAAAATTTTAGATAACAATTAAATTCTTTTTAATAATTTCATTAAAATTTTTAAAAATAATTGAATTCTTGCGTTGAATTTTAATAAAATTATTAAAAATATTAAATAATTGGATTATTTCGAAAAATGCTAATTAAAACTTTTGTATATAATTAAAAACCTTCGTAAAATTTGTAATTAAAATTCTCCTGCAAATTATTTAATTCTAATAAAAAATTTTTCAAAATTTTGACAATAATTGAATTTTTAAGAAGCATTTTATTAAAATTTTTGAAAATAATTGAATTTTTTCTACCAATTCAATTACAATTATTTTAATGGAAATTATTTTATTTTTATAAACAAAACTTATCAAAAATTTTATTAAAAATTAAAATTCTTGACAATAAAGTTAACAATTAAATTGAATTGTTTTAAAGAATTTTATCAAAAATAATTGAATTCTGACGAAGAATATTATTAAAAATAATTGAATTCTGACGAAGAATATTATTAAAATTTTTGTAAATATTTGAATTGCTTATTCAAAGAATTTTATTACAATTTGTATAAAATAATTTAATTCTCTAATTATATTTTGAGGAATTATTTAACATTCTATGGGAAATAATTTTATCACAAATTTGGAAATAATTAAATTTCTAAGAAGAATTTTATTGAAACTTTGAAATATAATTGAATTCTTTCAAGGAAATTAATTATATTTCCATTCCAAATTATTCTATTGTCATAAACAAATCTTTTGAAAATTTTAGTCAATAATTAAATTCTTTTTAATAATTTCATTAAAATTTTTTAAAATAATTGAATTCTCGCGATGAATTGTATTAAAATTATTAAAAATATTAAATAATTGAATTATTTCGAAAAATGCTATTAAAACTTTTGTAAACATTTGAATTGTTTCGAATAACTTTATTAAAACTTTTGTATATAATTGAAAACCTTCGTGAAATGTAATTTAAATTCTCCTGCAAATTATTTAATTTTAATAAAAAAATTTTTTTAATTTTTTACAATAATTGAATTTTTGAGAAGTATTTTATTAAAATTTTTGAAAATAATTGAACTTTTTCTACGAATTTAATTAAAATTATAATACAATTTATTCAATTTTTATAAACAAATTTTTATTAAAACTTTTGTCAATAATTGAATTCTTGATAAGAATTTTAAAAACTTCGAAAAATAATTGAATTCTTCGAAAGAATTGCATTCAAATATTTGCAAATTGAATTCTTTTAATAAGTTGAATTAAAATTTGACTGTAAATAATTTAATGTTATATAAATTTTATTAAAATTTTTCAGAATAATTGAATTCTTGAGAAAAATTTTATTAAAAATTTGTGAAAAAAATTTGATTTTTTCGAGGAATAAAATTAAAATTCTACTGCTAATTATTTAATTTTCATAAACAAAGTTTTATTAAAACTTTTGTCAATAATTGAATTCTTGAGAAGAATTTTATTAAAACTTCGAAAAATAATTGAATTAATTATAATTATTCTTATAAAAATAATAATTCTTTGAAAGAATTAAATTCAAATATTTGCAAATATTTGAATTGTTTCGAAGAATTTAAAAATTTTTTTTTGAAAATGTTTCAATTATTTCGAGAAATTTTTAATTAGATAAATAAGTGAATTTTTGTAACAATATGAATCTGAAATAAAATTCAGAAATTAATTGTTGGGATTTAAAACTATAAAATTCTGTAATTTACCAAATAAATCGAAATCCACATTACGTGCGTTAGTAGAAATAATATTTTTTAGTAATAACGATAATAATATCAACAACAATTATGCATTACGAAGAGAATCACCCATAATGAGCTAAAAAATACATTACCATCATTTTTTTTTTTTTTTTTTTGCGGCAACGCATGTAGTAAATATTTATTCAACGAAATTAATTAATCATTCCTTCTTTTGAAACTATAATTAGCTCCTGCAAAAATATTCATGAAGTAGACTTTGTCACAAAAACAAATTGATTGCAGTCGGTAAATAATAATTATTTGCGCTTTAAATAATTATAGCTATTTACAAACAAGCAATGTTTGCGAATATATAATTGACAACTATATAACCGGTAAATACCAATTACATATTCTACAATTCCAGTTTACATTTCGTTATAATGTTATCCGTTTTGGAAAATTTAATATTTTGCATAAATCTATGGTATATATATATATATATATTTCGCTGTATGCTCAACGATCGTCGTCGTCTTATCATTTGCGGTGAGAGAGAGAGAGTGAGTTTGGTTTACTGGCTGTCAAATGCAGAGATCGAACACGGCTGGTGTGTGTACGTTGAGTGTCGAAATCGATAACTATTATATGCGTCGAACCAATCGATATGGTTGCACTGATAAAGGGACAGAATGGCTACAGCGGAAACCATAAGAGAGGGGGGGAGAGAGAGAGAGAGAGAGAGAGGTTAGGCAGAGACACATAATTGATTGGCATTAGCGCACCTGATTGCCAGTTCGGAGAGCCTTACCTTGCCCGCGGGGCACTTGAATACCCTGCAGCTATGATGCTCCCTCGACTTGATTTACATTTGACCTGAAATTCTCACACCATAATCAACTCAAGCTGTGATATGCCATACTAAAAGTGAGCATTTATGGACTTGTATTCAATATTCCGTTGCAGACAGTTATTTCGAGTTGTATTTCTGGATAGAAATTCCCCCTCTCGCATGTAAACTATGTACAACTGTTTTCTTTTTCTTGGTTTACATTTTACTTTTTCAATATTGTGGGGATAAAATTAAAGGAAAACACATAAATATTCTTTTAAGTGATAAAAATAATTTAAAATCAGATCGAAAACTAGAAATTAGTAATAAAATAGATTCAGTAGTATGGGTCAATTTTAGTCAGACAATTAGACAATATTTTTCAATTTTCGTCTAAGTATAGTAAAACTTGTAAAAGTAAATATGACTTAGACAGAGGACTAGAACTAATGGCAATAAAACATCAGTAGTATGAGTAAATTATAGTCAGACTAGCTACTTTCAGTAGTACAAGTAAATTTTGGTCAGGCAGCCATAAATATTTGCAATTTTTCTACAAGTAGTTAATTTTAGTGATTTTTAATTAGAAATAATTTAAATTCGTGAAATAATATTTATCAACTTTATATTAATTAAATTTTACATTTTATTTACATGCCAAATTTTAGGCAAAAATTGTTTATATCATTTAAATATATATAATTCATTTAACTTAGTAGGACTCGAACCAGTGAAAGTATTTAAAAATATGGACTTTACGGACCAAAAATGAAAAATTACGGACCAATTACTGACAAAAATATAACAAGTTCGAGTCAAATTAGAAAACATTTTACTTAAAAGTATAAATTAAATTTTTTCATAACTATAAAACATGAAGAAATCGATAACTATGAGTCTTCGACTCGAAGTGATCGATTTCTTCATGTTTTATATTAATTAAAGATGGCAAATTGATAAAATCATTATTTTATATTATAAAAATATTTTACTTCTTCAAAGTTATTTTCATCATTTCAATTCAATTATTATTTTCAAGAATTTTTTACTAAACTTTTTTTCTTTAAATCAATTAATTTTCGAAAATGTTCTTCGTCAATTTTCAAAATACATTTATTTACAATATTCAATTTTACAAATTTCAATTATTCGTAAATTCTTCGATAAAA